GGAAGTGAAATTGCAGTGTTTCCACTCTATAATTAAATCCTACAGCATGCATAGGGCAATCAAAGTACTTTTTACGATGATAAAGCAGCTTGGTTTGTCATCTTCCCTTCTACTCAAGTTCATCTCACCAGGACAGCTTTGATTTTTGTTGTGCAGGACATCAGTAAAAGAGTAAAAAGATTTTAAGTGCAGCTGCTAAAGCTCTGCTGAAAGTCTTAAAGATCTATAGCTTGATGCCGACTAACAATAACATAAGTATCTAGCACTGCTAAACTCTAGTGTACATTTCAAAGACACTGCTGTGGCTGCCTCTGCTGACCTCCTGTAAATCTGGAACCGTGAGGAAGACTCGTTTCGTGTGTAGTGACAATTCTCCTTATTGCTTCACCCACGGCAGGCCCCGTTTTCTGCACATGCTGAAAAGCAGTATTAAAAATTGAGGAGGAATGCCAAGTTCTTATGCTAAAGGGCCCATTTTTGTTACTTGGTTCAGTTTCTTGTTTAATCTAGATGAATAAATAACACTGCTGTGTCATTAGTTAACAGCACTAATTAATTACAAGTGCAGCTGAAGTCCCAATTTTGACACAGCAAGATGTTTGAGCTTCACAGGAAACACAACAACAGCAGCAGCAACTTCAGTCCTGTGAAACTGAGGTCATGTTCACAGCAGCCTACTTTTTCAGGTGGAAATAAATCCACAAAGAAGCAGTGACTACAAATAAATCAGCTGCCTCTTCGCTTTTCCAGAATCACCACCCTTTCGGGAGTGGCTATTTCAGAACAGAGAAGCAAAGTAGCTGCTGCACTGCGTTGGTGCAAATAACGCTGTTCCCAAGTGCCACGTGCACGTTGTTCCCTCGTCACACAAGAACAGTATTTTCTACGTATCTGGCAGTTACCAATCTCAGCCAAACCACAGGAAGCAGTAAGAGATCAGGGCTGACAATACCGGCATTTGCAAACGGTTGCTGACAGAGAAGGTGGGTTCCCCGGCAGGTTGAACAGCACCTTTCTTATTTTCAGTTCATAGTGTATAATAAATATCAGGTACATTTCAATTTCTATGATTAAGTAATTAAGTTGAACCTGTAAAAGCCCAACCCTCTTCTCTATTCCAAGGTGCAAGGTTTCCTTTTAGATCTATAGAGCAGGGGCAAATACACGGGCATTTATTTTCAGAAATGGTTTCTGTCTGCCTTTTGCTATATCGCATGTGGAATTACAGAATCACAGAATGTCAGGGGTTGGAAGGGACCTCTAGAGATCATCTAGTCCAGCCCCCCTGCCAGAGCAGG